AACCACAGATTCCACTATTGCCCATTGTGAGTTGCGATGGTCATCAAGGAATCTGCAGTTGCTAAATCACTTTCCAGGGAAGGAAAAAATGATGGAGAACACCTGTAGGCCCCTCTCAGTACGAGTTGTGCAAACGTCCTCGTTTCATGGTAGCAAGGCGACATCCTGCCAGCCTCTGGGTCACTAGCGTTTCTTCGCATCATCCAATGCTAGTATCATTAATAGTGAAAAAGTAACGAAAAACCCGGTTAAAAACTGAACTCGTGGCAGAAATTACCTTTACATTTCGGTAAACGGGACAACTAGGGAGGCGTCAGAACTGCCTATTATTACGGCCACAGCTCCTTCGTTTCCTACAGTGAAGCCGCGAAAGTGGGATAAATGTAGAGACCGAGCGCCAGACTATTTGTACAAGGAAGGATGTTAACGGATTGCTTGAGCGCGGGGACTGTCTTTGAGCGAAAATGCGTGTCGCACGTCCACATGCGTTGGCGCTCATAGCTAGCGTTTAGGCGGTTTCGTTATGAGTGGCCGTCCCGTGAAACATTCGCTGACATTCGTGTTCTGTATGTCAGAGCACATCAAATTCTAAATCAAAAGTGAGTTGATTGACCAGTTCACTTTCATCTTCTACTGCAAGATTGTGTCGGAAAGTTTGAATGTCTCAAAAGGAAATGGTGATGATTGATGGGATCGTTTAGCGGAAGTAGTGAGTTCGTTGCGTGATATCAACGTGAGCAGATGTTTCCCAGTCCTCGCTCTGGCATATTACGGTGCGCATTGAGGCTGAGCTCCTGCAACCGCTCATCAGTCTTTTTGTGCCGAGCAACTGATTCAATTTTTTAATAAGCCTTAGCAAATTATACAAAACATAATTATGTCTGGCTAGTTGGAACTCAGTATTTATAAGGTTGTGTCCGGCTTGGAAGGGGCTTTTGCACTCTCGATAGTTTCTTTTGCAAGTACTTATTGAATTACACATCTTACCGTGGAAAGGCCTGTAGCCTCTGATAAAATGTGAATAAAGCTCCTGCTGTCGCACAGCTTCAGAGGAATTTACAGGCCTAAACGGAAGGCATTGGCAGTGATTAATGGGAACTAGCGAAATGTCCCCGCTAAGCCGAACAGCGCCAATTTTGTGGTTTTGAATTATCGCATGATTCATTTTGGAGGCGCAGTCCACGTGGCTTGCTTACGTACTGTTGCGCTCGGATATGTGTGGGGGTGCTAAGCAGTTTGCCAGAATTCGAAAATTAAAACAATGATTCTGAAAGCTCCTGAATTAGCGCTCTAATGTCTGCTGTTTATTGAAAAGTGTGGGAAAATTCGAGGAGAGCGCTTGGATGGGTATGCCAGGCTCTTCGCCCAACCGCCAGTCGATATGTATCGAAAGCTTTTCGCCGAACCGCCGCGTTTCAGAGAAACGCTGGACCGCAGAGTGTGAACAATGCCTAACGCGGCAAATTATGATTGTATTGTCCATCTCCCTTTTTTTCTCAGGGTTAATAATCAGCCTCTATAACTGCACCCACCGAGGGGAATTACGAGCGAGGGCAGGAACATAAACGCATGGGGTCGTTCTACAGCCACTATTCTTACACTAGCACGCAATAGCTTTTCCAGAGCTTGGGTGCGAAACCAGTTTGTTATGTAGTGCGCTTTTAAGTTTGTACGTTATTTCACGTTTTTCAAGAATTTTTGTTAAGGTCGCGTTCACTACTAGAATCTATCATCCGAATATAAATTCCAATGGCAGTATTTGTTTGGATATCCTCAGATCGCAATGGTCTCCAGCGTTGACAATATCAAAAGGTAAGTTCATTCAAGACTATCTGGCATTATTCCATTAGTACGACTGCCAGAACTAAAAATTGCTGCTTGAACTTCGAATACAAATCTTGTTCAGTGTTCTGATCATTTATAATCCATTTTTGGCGTAGGCGCCTTTGGGCGCCG